TCCTAAATCATTTTATGGTTTCGTAAATTCAAAGCGTAAGGCACATGGTTTTCCGTCCGCTATGCATTATCGCAACACTGTATCTAGCGACAGCCAACTCATTGCCAACATGTTTGCTCGGTTCTTTAGGTCCAATTATTCTGTAGACTTCCCTATAAGTGGAGACTATCCGTACGAGCTTTGTCCAATCAACTCTGCTTATATTCCATTAATATCTTCCGATGAAGTTTTACACTCTTTAAAAACCTTAAAAGCGTCATTTAGGCCTGGACCTGATCATATTCCGACCTGTTTTCTTAAAAACTGCGCTGAGAACATCTGCGAGCCTTTAACAACTCTATTCAATTTGTCACTTAAACATGGCGTTTTTCCGTCAGCCTGGAAGGAGTCTTTCATAATACCACTTCACAAAAACGGCAGCAGGTCGTCTATAGAAAACTATCGAGGCATAGCGAAACTCTCCGCTATCCCCAAATTATTCGAAGCAATTATTATTAACCAGCTGACATATTCTATATCTTCTTCAATTACACAATCTCAACACGGGTTTTCTAAAGGAAAATCTACTATGACTAATTTATTGGAGTTTACAACTCATGTCTCAAACGGTTTTAGAGAAAATGCTCATACCGACGTAATTTACACCGATTTCAGTAAAGCTTTTGACAAAGTATGTCACTCGTTACTCATCCGTAAACTCGACCTAATCGGCTTTCAGCCCAGTCTTCTTCAATGGATCTCATCTTACCTCTCTGATAGAACACAAAGAGTTATTGTTAATAATTGTTCTTCCAACATCATTAAAGTTTCTTCAGGAGTTCCTCAGGGAAGCCACCTTGGTCCGATTCTGTTCCTGATATTCATTAATGATATTTCTTCTATAATAAAATATTCAAAAATTTTAATGTATGCTGATGATGTGAAACTTTTTAAAACATTGTCCTCTATCGAAGAAAGGTCTTTGTTACAAGCGGATCTGAACAACGTGGTTAGTTGGTGTAATACAAACTATATGCCACTAAACCTTCAAAAATGTAAAGTTATGTGTTTCTCTCGGAGGGCTGTTCAACCAGCTGTTTATTCAATATCAAATTATAATCTGGAGCAGGTATCCAATTTTGTCGATCTTGGTATCACAATGGATTCCAAACTCAATTTCAACCATCATATTAATGTTACAGTCAATAAAGCCAAAGGCGTTTTTGCATTTGTAAGGCGATGGTCAAAAGAGTTCAAAGATCCTTATGTTACAAAAGCTCTTTTTACCAGTTTAGTTAGACCTATACTAGAATACGGATCTATTGTTTGGAATCCCCGCTACCAAGTTCATTCAGAAAGGATTGAATCAATTCAAAAACAATTCTTGCTTTTTGCATTGCGTAATTTAACTGGGATTCAGATTACAATCTCCCCCCTTACACAAGTCGTCTAAAGCTCATAAATTTGCCTACACTCGCAAGTCGTAGAGAAATGCTGGGTATAATATTTATCGTAAAATTAATGACAGGCTTGATTAATAGCTCGGCCCTCCTGGCTGAGGTAAATTTTAATGTTCCTTCTCGAGTGTCAAGACACTTTCGACCTCTATTTTTAAAGCCATGCAAAACTAATTTTGAACTAAACGAATCATTCCGTGGTTTATGTCAAGATTTTAACTGTCATTCCAGCACGTTTGACGTATCGGACTCGATTTTTACTATAAAGAAAACTATTATTTCCACTCTCAATAATTGAAATACTATCTTTAGCATATCCAATCAGCTGATGAATTTGATTCTGTAGCTGAATAGTTTTAGATCTCGACAC